TTTTTTGATGCTGGAGATTTAACCCAGGGGTGCTTTACCACTGAACTACATCCCCAGCCTTTTGGCTTTTTATTTTGATATAGGGTCTCACTGAGTCACTGAGGGCCTCACTAAGTTGCTGAGGCTAATCCTCCTGCATTAGCCTCCCAAGCCACTGGGATAATAGGTGTGTGATACTGCACCCAATGAAACAAAATTTCTAAAAATCTAATAACGTAGTATAGTATTAAGTAGTATGTCGAAGCTTATTATTTTCTATGTCTTGGGACTATATTCTTCAAGAAGAAAAGTGGTTTTGTTGGAAAAAGAGGCTTCTGGTCCTGATTTCAGTGCACTCATGCTAGAAGGGGTTGCTGTCCCACTCTTGGTAACCTCCTGTGTCTTCTCCCTGCAGGATGGAGATTTCCACCCATCAGTCTCATCTCCTGCAACAACTAAATGAGCAGCGCAGGCAAGATGTGTTCTGTGATTGCAGTATTCTAGTTGAAGGGAAGGTCTTCAAAGCTCATCGAAATGTATTATTTGCTAGTAGTGGCTACTTCAAAATGCTTCTTTCTCAGAATTCCAAGGAGACAAGTCAGCCAACCACAGCTACATTTCAGGCTTTCTCTCCGGACACTTTCACAGTTATCCTGGACTTTGTCTATTCAGGCAAACTCTCTCTTACTGGGCAGAATGTCATAGAAGTGATGTCCGCGGCAAGCTTCCTTCAGATGACTGATGTCATTAGTGTATGTAAGACTTTTATCAAATCTTCCTTGGACATTAGTGAGAAGGAAAAAGATCGCTACTTCAGTCTCTCAGATAAGGACGCCAGTTCTAATGGCATAGAGCGTTCTGCTTTTTATGGTGGCAGCTGGCAAGAAGAAAGCAGTTCCCCACACTCTCACCTCAGCCCAGATCAAGGAGCAGGTATAATAAGTGGAAAGTCGTGGGGTAAGTATAATTACCCTCCGGCCTCCCAACGGAGCACTCAGCTCCCTGGGGCCAAGCATGAGCAGAGGAAAGATTCCATTAAAAAGACCAAGCATCTGCGACTGTCACAGCCTCCTGAAGCTGCTCAGTACAAGTCAAGCAAACGAGAAGCGCGTGCGTCTGATTCTTCCAGCCATGTTTCCCAGGCTGAAGAACAAGCGCAAATTGACACAGAAATGGACTCTGCTTCTGTTGGCTATCAGTATGGTCAAGGATCTGAGGTCACGTCCCGAAGTTTTTCAGGTACTCAAAAGGAGCATGACTCCCCAACCAGGTTCCAAACTGCTATTATGTATAAATCCTTTCTCAACATGCCCTAATTTTAGGTGTGTCATAGGCAATTAAACCAAGTGATTTTTTTTAAGTCATACTTTTGTAATGAAATAGATTTTATAAAACATGAATTTAAAATGTTTAACTCAAAATAATATTGGATACATTCAATGACAGTCAGTAGAATACTGATGGTCAAAACATAATTCTCTGGGGCTGGGGTTGTGACTGGCTCAGTGGTAGGTCGCTTACTTAGCATGTGTGAGGCCCTGTGTTCAATCCTCAGCACCACATAAAACTAAATAAACAAAATAAAGGTATTGTGTCCATCTACAACTAAAAATATTAAAACAACAACAACAAAAAAATCACATAATTTTCCAAACCTATATCTGGATGTTTGGATTACTATTAAATGTTTAAAGTCTTTTCTAAATGGTTCAATCTCTAGGATATGTATTTTCATTTTACATTGTTCCTCCCTCACCCAATGTCTTCACTCAGGAGGAGTATTTATCAACATATAAGTATATAATTGTGTGTGTGTGGTGCTGAGGATGGAACCCAGGGCCTTGAACTTGCTAGGCAAAGGCTCTACCACTAAGCCAGATACTTTTCTTTTTTTAAATTTATAACACACAACTCATAAAATTTATACTGTGATTCTTCAGTGAACCAGTGTGCAACAACATAAAATATCTTTCTCACTAGGTATGGTGGTATATGCCTGTAATCCCAGTGACTCTGGAGGCTGAGTCAGGAGGATTACAAGTTTGAGGCCAGCATTAGCAAATAAGTGAGGTTCTAAGCAACTTACTGAGACCCTGACTCAAAATAAAAAATAAAAAGGGCCAGGAAGGTGGCTCTGGGTTTAATCCCCAGTACCAAAAGAAAAAAAAAAAAAAAAAGACAAGACAAAGATCCCTCTCTCTCTCAATTTTGAGACAGATTTTTGCTAAATTGCCCAGGCTGGCCTCAAATTTTTGGTCCTTCTGCCCCAGCCTCTCAAGTCCCTGGGGTAAAGGAATGCACCACCACACCCAGCTGTGTTTTTTTTTTTTTTTAATGATAGTAATAAAATATAGAAATAGAGTATGTATACTACCCTTATTCCCATATGGCTGAAATAAAGAAGGATTAGAAATATATATCATCCAGTCTTCTTCCCCAATGAACTAGTTAACAAATTTGCTTAATTGTTTATATGTGAATTCCAAACAAAATTTTAATAAAAAGAAGTCCCTGAGGATTATAGGGTCTATTACATATATTTTAAATGTTTATTTTAGAAAAATTTCAAAGTATCTTTGAAACAAGTTTGTGTGTGGCCTGAATGTGTACACTTTTTTCCTTATCATTGTATTTCCTTAACAATATGGTATCACAACTATTTATATAACATTTATATTATATAAATTAGCATTAGGTATTATAAATAATGGAGATGTTTTAAAGTATATGGGAGGATGTGCTTAGATTATATGCAAATACTACATCATTTGTATTAAGGTCTCTTGAGCACCTGTGGATTTGTATCTGGTGGTGGTAAAGGGGTGTTTCCTGGAAATAATGTCTGGGGCTAGAGGTGTAGCCCAGTAGCAGAGCACTTACCTAGCATGTGTGAGACCCTGAGTTCCATCCATAGTACCACAAAAAAATTTTTGAGGTTTGCCTCCAATTATAACTAATAATTTTCTTTTCTTTTTTTTTTTTTGGTACTAAGGATTGAACCCACGAATGCTTTACCACTAAGCTATATCCCAGGCCTTTTTTGTTTTGATTTTTGGCTAGAGTCTTTCGAAGTTGCTGAGGCTAGCCTTGAATTTGCAATCCTCTTGCCTCACTCTTCTGGGTCACTGGGAATACAGGCATGTATCATTGTGTCTGGCCACAACTAACATTTTGTAGATAACTATATGTGTACTTTAAAACCAAATATTAAAGATCCTTGTAATTATACAAGTACATGATAAGTAAAGGCAAGGTGATAAAAAACATAAATAAAACAAATTGCTTAAAAACTTGAATATTAGCTGGGTTTGGTGGCACACGCCTGTGATCCCAGCAGCTCAGGAGGCTGACAGGAATTCAAAGCCAGCCTCAGCAACTTAACAAGGCCAGAAGCAATTTAGTAAGACCTTGTCTCAAAATAAAATATAAAAAGGGCTGGAGATGTGGCTCAGTGGCTAAGCACCCTTGAGGTAATTCCCCACTACTAAAAAAACAAAAACCAACCAACCAAACAAATCTGAATTTTAAATGTTTTAATTTTGCATTGTTTATAGTGTTAAAATTCAGTATTAGCAGGGCATAGTGGCACATGCCTGTAATCCCAGCAACTCAGGAGGCTGAGGTAAGAGGATTGCAAGTTCAAGACCAGCCTCAGCATTTTAGGGAGACCCTAAGCAACTTAGTGAGACCCTGTCTTAGAAAAAGTAAAATATAGAAAGGGCTGGGGATGTGGGGGATGTGGCCCAGTGGTTAAGCACCTCTGAGTTCAATCCCTAGTACCAAAAAAAGAATACAGTACTCCCTTTTTACATTTAAAAATGTAATGACTGGGGTTGGGGCTGTGACTCAGTGGCAGAGCACTTGCCTAGCATGTGCAGGGCACTGGGTTCAATCCCTAGCATCACAGAAAAATAAACAAATAAAGGCATTCTATCCATTTACAACTACAAAAAAAGTTTTTTTTAAATGTAATGACTGTAGTATGTTAAAAGAAGACATATGTGTAATAGTCTAAATTTACCTGGACTTTGTAAATATATCAAATACTAAAGTTATAGTTCTATGTAGGAATACACTGACAATTCTGGTCTTAATAGAATGTCTTCCTCCTTCCTTTTACCTTTCCGTGGTTGAACTCACCAAGTCCTTTTGGATTCTTTATGTTCATAGAATTGTTATGCTCTCTCTAGTGATTTAATAAAACTGTCTTGTGACAGATGACCTGCCCAGGATGCGATTCAAGTGCCCGTACTGCACACATGTGGTAAAGCGGAAAGCAGACCTCAAGCGACATCTGCGCTGTCATACAGGAGAAAGGCCGTATCCATGTCAAGCTTGTGGAAAAAGGTTTAGCAGGCTAGACCACCTAAGTAGCCATTTCCGAACAGTATGTATATGATCTTCCATCATTTTACTTCTTGAGACAATGTGCATTTATCTGCTTTAGGATAATCCAGTTTAGGGGCATATCTTTTCATATAACTCTACCATAGGAAAAATTATTCGAAATCATGCACAAAATAATAATTTTATGTATATATGTGTGTGTGTGTGTGTGTGTATGTATGTATGTATGTATGTATGTATATATAGAGAGACTTTTAGTCTCCTTTGAGACCTCTAAGTACAGTTCTTTTAATTCACACCAAATATATTTTTATATGTTGATGTGTTCAGAGACAAAGATAATGCAAACTGTACAAATGTTTTAAATGTCTAGGTCAGAATCACCACTTCACATATTTGGCATCTACCAGTGATTCCTGAATCCTGTCTGGTAGGATCTTGGTCTAGTTGCCGACCTCTCTCCACTACATCCCCTTTCTAGTCTCCCTTCAGCTTCTCTCCAGTCTTCTAAAGGAAGGAAGCCACTTCCAGTCAGGGATTGACTGTTAGCAGTCAAAAAATATTCAGAGAATTTGTTCTTTGATGCCCTGGGGGTTTCATAAGATAGTGACATTGAAATTGTTCTGCCCTTCATCTTGGCAACACAGTTTTCTTCTGAAATATGTGTTCTGTCACTTTTGCTTCTGTTCCATTTACAAGCGTTCTTTTTAAATTTAAAAGACAATGGGTCACTTACAGTGATTGCATCATGCATTGCTTTATAATTATTTATTCAACAAATATGTTTAGAGCACTGTATATGCCAGTTCCTTTTCTAAGTGCTAGCAATGAGAAATATAGGCAAAATCTCTGTCTTTGTTAACCTTATGGAACTAGAGTTTTAAAAACTGAAAAGCTTTTGGTGGCTCATGCCTGTAATCCTGAGGCAGGAGGATTACAAGTTCAACACCAACCTCGGCAATTTAGCAAGTCCCTAAGCAACTCAGTGAGACCTGTCTCAAAATAAAAAATAAAAATGGACTGGGGATGTGTGGCTCAGTCATCAAGCACCCCTGGGTTCATTCTCTGTTACTTAAGAAAATAATAATAATAATAAACAATCTTTCATTACTACAAAAGCAATAAGTATGTATCATAAAAAAATAAGAAAATAGTCGGGCGTGATGTCGCATCCCTATGATCCAGCAGTGAGGCAGGATGATCCTGAGTTCAAAGCCAGCCTCAGCAAAAGTGAGGCGCTAAGCAACTCGTTGAGACCCTGTCTCTAAATAAAATACAAAATAGGGATGGGATGTGGCTCAGTGGTCCAGTGCCACTGAGTTCAATCCCCATAACTCCACCCCCCCAAAAAATAAAGAAAAGAAAACAACAACAACAAAAAATGTTTTATCACTCCAATGTTACTATTCTTAATATTCTTAACAGTTCTATTATATAGTCTTCCACAATTTCTTCTATGGATATAATTGTTTTTTAGCTTCGAATGAGATCATATCGTACATGCTGTTTTGTAACCTGTTTTCTTTAGTGAATAATCGTCGTTTATTTGTGTTTTGGGGTTTTTTTATTTGTTTGTTTTTTGCGGTGCTGGGGATTGAACCCAGGGCCTTGTGCATGCAAGGCAAACACTTAAAATGTCTCATAAAAAACAAAATAGAGCTGGTTTGTCCAAGCCAGAATCCAGTCTAAGACCATGTATCAACTCTCTGCTAAATCCCTTAAATATATTTTTCTTTTATTTGTCGTAGCTGGGGATCACACCCAGGGCCTAGCGCATCCTAAGTATGTGCTTTATTACCACTGACTGCACCTTTGCTCCATCTCAAGTATATTTTTAATCTAGCACAGTTTCCCCCCCACATACCCCTCCCTTACCCCAACACTGACTTATTGAAGACAGCCAGTGGTTCTTCAAAGCACCCTACCTCTGGTTTGTCTTCCATATGGTGTCATTTAGTTTGTTCCATTATTCTCCTTGCATTTTCTATAAACTAAAAGTTTTATCTAAAGTCCCAGTGGATTCAAGTTAAACACTTTCAATTAGAACACATCAAGGGCAAAGTACACTTCATGTTTCTGTTACATTAGGAGAGACACGTCTGGTGGACCCATCATTTGTGATTTTCTTTTTTTTTTAGATAGAGAGAATTTTAATATTTATTTTTTAGTTTTCGTCAGACATAACATCTTTGTTTGTATGTGGTCCTGAGGATAGAACTCCGGCCACACGCATGCCAGGCAAGCATGCTACCGCTTGAGCCACATCCCCAGCCCATCATTTGTGATGTTAAGATAAATCTCTCTCTGTGGGTAATGATAATGTAATTCCACCATTGTATACATCAAGGTGCTGCCTTGTAACAAGAAAGGAGGGCTGGGGATGTGGCTCAAGCAGTAGCACACTCGCCTGGCATGCGTGCGGCCCAGGTTTGATCCTCAGCACCACATACCAACAAAGATGTTGTGTCCGCCGAAAACTAAAATAAATATTAAAAAAAAAAAACAAGGAAGAAATTTTTGTGAAAGAATTTTGGCATCCAAGAATGACCCCTTTCCCCATCAACTCTTCATTCAATGATATTATCAGTGATTGATAATATGTAAGAAGTTATAATTTTAGGGAGCTGGGGACATAGCTCAGTTGACAGAGTGCTTGCCTTGCATGCACAAGGCCCTTGTTTTACCCCACCACTACCACCAAAAAAACAAAAACAAAAACACCAGTTAATGATTTTACTTAGAGTTGTGGAATGATTTACCAATTTATAATTTCTTCTACAGTATTAGCTGGAATTCTATGAAGCAAAATTTCCCTTTATCATCTGGAGCTATTTGGTTATTTTGAAATCCAAATCCTATAGGAGAAGGAGGATAAACATTTGTTTCTTTCTCTTAAATCAATTTTCAAAGTGAAGAATTGATTTAATAGCAGCCTCAGTGACATTATATGAGCTTTCTCAGGCTTTGCTGTTTTAGATACCATAGAGTATTAGGAATTTTCATCGGTTCATTGTGCTTCTTGATACATTTCAGAGTTATATCCAGACCATTCTCTACCTTAAAGTGGCTCTTGTGTCCTTTGGACACATCCCATTACATTTGAAAGTATCCTCGTTCACTGGACCCAAAAGAGGCCTACACTCACCTCATATTTTCCCTACCACAGAAGTGGAATCAGCCACTTCTCGAAGGACGTTGGTTCCTTTCAGGAGGGGTGAAATTAGAGACCAGAATTTGGATACCCACTGTTATGGAGTTGTCATGTGTCTTTTTTTTTTTTTTTTTTTTTGGCAGTGCTAGGGATGGAACCAGGGCTTTGCACGTGCTAGGCAAGCCCTCTACCACCAAACTACATCCCAACCTGTCATTTCTTTTTTCTTTTTTTTTTTTTTTGGCGGGGGTAGGGGGATACTTGGGATTGAACTCAGGGACACATCAACTACTGAGTCACATCCCCAGCCCTATTTTATATTTTATTTAGAGACAGGGTCTCACTGAGTTGCTTAGCACCACACTATTGCTGAGATTGGCTTTGAATTCGCGATCCTCCTGTCTCAGCCTCCCCAGCTGCTGAGATTAGAGTCCTGCGCCATCTCGCTTGGCCCATCATTTTTTTTTTAAATTATTTCAGTGGACACATATATACATTTTAACATATACATATATATATTTTAAATTATGAGTTCATGTTGATATTTTCAGTTTAAACATTGTAGTGTTTCACTTAATTTCTTTGACATCATTATTATATTGGAATTCATGAATCTTTGTCAATACTCTGTTAACAAAAACACCACCACATGTGATACCCATAATATTATTCTCTCAGGAAAATAAGTATTCTTTTCAACTGTACACTTTTAATATTTGCTATTTAATGTCAACAGTTAAGCAGAAGATAATAACTGTCCTGAATGATGTTCTATACATACTCGTAGATACTTTACCAAACTAAATTAGTTTTTTTAAATTTTATTTTATTGTTTGGTTTTCATACTTTTCTGCCTTTCTCTAAATGAGTATTTCATAAACATTAATCCATCATTATACAATTAATTCTCATAATTTTTATAGTAGAACCCATAATCTACTTCTCTTAACAGCTATTGAACAAAATTGTTTATTACTAACTAAAATGATTTATAATCATTCATCAGTTACAACTTTTTAACCAAAGCATTCCACACCTATTAACCCATTTGGTTCTCACATCAACCCCATGAGTAGTGTGCCTATTAACAATAAAGAATCAGGGTGGGGCTGGGGATATAGCTCATTTGGTAGAGTGCTTGCCTTGCATGCACAAGGTGCTGAATTCAATCCCCAGCACCACAAAAAAAAAAAAAAGAATCAGGCTGGGATAATAATAGGTTGATGTGTAAAAAAAACGACCTATAGGTTGTTTGTGACCAGTGCCCATTTGGACTAGTCAGGCTTCCCATCTTCCTGGGGGTGGGGCCAGTAGGAGTGGCCATATCATACAGTAACATATTTTGACTATCACCTTGAAAGCAGAATGATAATGTTTAAAATTACTTGCTCCAAGGTTCAAGGTTAGTAATTGACAAAGATAGAAAATGACAAAATTAGGACTAGAACACAAGCCTTCTAATTCCTAGTGTGATCCTATTTCTACCAGTTCTTTTATTAATAAAGACAGCTAATAATCCTTCTATCCAAAAATATTGATTAATTTATATTTGGGGCCAGGCACAGTGGCACATGCCTGTAATCCTAGTGGCTCCAGAGGCTGAGGCAGGAGGATTGTGAGTTAAAAACCAACCTCAGCAATTTAGCAAGGCCCTAAGCAACTTAGAAAGAACCCGTCTCAAAATAAAATATAAAAAGTGCTGGGGATGTGGCTCAGTGGTTCAGTGCCCCTGGGTTAAATCCCTGGTTTAAAAAAAAAGTTAATAGGGGCTGGGGTTGTGGCTCAAGTGGAGGCGTGCTCGCCTAGCATGTGTGAGGCACTGGGTTTGATTATCGGCACCACATAAAAAAATAAAAAATAAGATATTGTGTCCACCTAAAACTAAAAAATAAATATTAAAAAAATTTATATATATATATATATATATACACACACACACACATACATATATATATATTTGGGATAATATTTCTTTTTTCTTTGGTTAAATAACAAAAAAGATAAATAATACATAAATAAAAGGTTTTTTCCTCTCTGAATTAAAATATATCAAGTCCTGCTAGGTGCAGTGGCACATACCTATATCCCACCTACTTGGCAGGCTAAGACAGGAGAATCACAAAGTTTGAGGCCAGCCTGGGAAACTTAGCCAGAACCTGACTCAAAATAAAAAGGGAATTGAGTGTGGTGGTGTGCCCTGTAACCCTAGCAATCTGGGAGGCTGAGTGAGACAGGAGTATCTCAAGTTTGAGGCCAGCTTCAGCAATTTAGCAGGACACTGTCTTAAGAAAAGGTTAGGGCCAAAGCTGAGTGTTAGAACACCCCGGATTCCATTCTGTACTGCAAAAAAAAAAAAAAAAAGTAAAGTCTTTAAAAACAATACATGGGGGACTAGGGTTGTGGCTCAGTGGTAGAGTATTTGCCTAGCATGCGTGAGGCCCTGAGTTCGATCCTTAGCGCCATGTATCAATAAATAAAATAAAGGTCCATTGACAACTCAAGAAATATTAAAAAAAAAAACACAATATAATACAATACATGGCATATAGTAAGTGTTTGCAATTATTTTTATGCTAGGAAGGTGTCCCTTTTTACCTTAGATATCAAAATACTATTGGGTTAAAGGATATATGAAATTATTCAGTATGTAACATTAAAAATAAAACCACTGGGGCTGGAGTTTTGGCTCAGTGATAGAGTGCTTGCCTAGCATACATGAGGCTCTGGGTTCAATTCTCAGCACCACATATAAACAAATAAATAAAGATCCATCAATAACTAATACAAACTTTTAAAAAATAATAAAACCACTATCATTTAGAGAAAATGATATTTAATATTTCTGTGACATCAATTTATCCCCCAAACCTTTTCTAATGATTAGATGTTAATTTGAGTCTAATGCATGGCTTTGGACATCTCAAATTTATGAACTGATACCTAAAATATCAAACTGTCCTGCTTTTGAAAAATCATTTTTATCACTATTTAAATCTCTACACAGATTCACCAGGCATGCAAACTAATCTGCAGAAAATGCAAACGCCATGTGACTGACCTAACAGGGCAAGTGGTACAGGAAGGAACCAGGCGCTACAGACTGTGTAATGAGTGTCTTGCAGAAGTTGGCATAGACAGCCTCCCCATTGATTTGGAAGCTGAGCAACATCTTATGTCCCCATCAGATGGAGATAAACATTCCCGATGGCACTTGAGTGAAGATGAGAATAGATCCTATGTGGAGATTGTAGAGGATGGGTCTGCCGATCTGGTCATACAACAGGTTGATGATAGTGAAGAAGAAGAAGAAAAAGAAATAAAGCCCAACATTAGGTAGCTGTAATATGAACCAACAGAGCTGGCATGTCTGCAATTTCCATTCACTTCCTGTATCTCTCCTTTCCATGGTCAGAGTCTGGTTAACAAATTTATCATACTGACTTAAAAGAAATGACCTGAAATAACTTGCATGCTTTCTGAACAGGCCATTGTATCCATTCTGAACTTTGTTGCCCTAAAATATGTTGCTGCACTGGAAAGAAAGACCTAGCTTGAGTTGGCATGATGGATGAACAGTTACCCTCTTTATTACAGATACGTTCTTTCTTTTAATATTGGAAGATATACTTAGCAAATTTTCTTCAAAGAAAATATTTTAAATAAATTTATCGTAGCCAAGCTTTATATAAGACAATTTTAAGGTGTTTCAAAGACAAATACACTACCAATATTAAGTTTCACAGGGAAAACGGGTAAGAGCACATTTAAGGGTCTGGCAACACACCTTGCTGTTAATTTCAGATCTGAAGCAACCAATCACTTTCTAGTATTCTAAATGATTAGGATTAATGACTGAAGACTAATAAGAAATGCTTGAGTTTGTTCATATTTAAAATTTTTGTCCTTAAAAAATGACTTTTATATAGTCAGTATTATTTAAAAGAAAAAACTAACATAGAGGCTGACCAAAGATTATATACAGACATCATTTTTTCAAAATAGGAAACACACTGCCTAAAAGTAAAGGTAGTTAGTTTGTAAAAAAAAGATCTGTCAATAACAGTTTTCTTCTTCTCTAAAGGAAAAAAATGAATAAAAAGTTTAAAAAATATATTAGAAGGTTCTCTCCAGTTCTTAAGAATAATTTCTAACGTTTATCTAGTGCTATATATTACTTTAAAGTGCTCTATTACATATTTTCTCACTATTTAGTAAAGGAGATAGTACCTCTGAGGAAATTAAGGTCAGAAAATATGAGTGGTACAACTGATGATTGGACAGACTATGGTTTTAAGTAATCCTCTTTTACCAATCTCTCCTAATATGTCTCCTGAAATGACAGAGAATTGAAATCAAACCTTACAGGCCTGCAGTAATGATAAAAGTCAGATTTAGAATTAAAAAACACATTATGAGAATCAGGATTAGAAAATACAGGGGTAGATATAGCTCAGTGGTAGAGTGCTTGCCTAGCACTTGGCCCTGGGTTCAATCCTCAGCACACACACACAAAGAATTAGAATGTATGAAAGAAGAATTTAGTCACTTTCAGCAACCTATATGTTTATGTTAAGTTATTCAAATAGTGTTAAGTAATGTCCCTAAAATACATTCTAACATATTTTTGTTGGGTTATTTATATATAAATTTAAAACAAAACTATTTGAACAAATTATTGTCTTAAATGCTTTGAGCATTTTTGCATATCTTGTTTATATTTTTCACAACAAATTTTTATCCTAGGATACAAAGTTTGAACTTCTCCCCAGTGTGAATTATGAGACATTCCAACATCACAGCAAAATTGGAGAAGCATTGTTTTTAGTTCTAAGGATAAAATATAAATATCAGAACAGTGGTACTTCATAAAGTTCTTTGTGCTGGGCGCAGAGGCACACGCCTGTAGTCTTAGCTACAAAGGAGGCTAAGGCAGGAGGATTGCAAATTTGAGACCAGCCTGGGCAACTTTGGGAAGCCCTGTCTCAAAAAATTAAAAGGGCTGTGGATGTAACTCAGGGGTAAAGCACCCCTGGGCTCAGTCCCCAGTACCATACACACACACAAAGAGGGGTCTCTGCAAGTTACCATAGTGAAGCTTAATATAATGTAATTATGGTATATAGTGAGGCTCCATGTATTATACTGTATTTTTAAATGCCATGACATACCTCAAGATGATATTTTTGTTATTATTTCCTTATTCTTTAGTTAATGATTGTCCTTGATACCAACTTGTGGGCCACAAGACTTAATATCCTTTAAAAATTTTTTAAAAATAGATAAATAACTACTTTGTTTCATGATACTTAATTCTGAGTCTTTTCCAAGATTGCCCTGATGGCAAATTTCCAGTTGGCTCAAGACTACCTGTGTGTATTGAGTTCATTGGTTCTCCCAACATGACCATTCCTAAATCAGGATTCTTAACTACTAAGTAATATCTGAAGAGGGAGGCATTGCCTGCCATTCTCTAGGCTCACCAGAGTGATACTAACACCTTTCCAAATTGTAACCTGATTTTTAGTTGTTGGGGCCAATAAGAAAAATGACTGATTTGAGCTTTATTCATAGAAATGAAGTAGTGCTTGCATGTGTATACCCTAACGCACTTTAGTCTATGACCTAAATGTTCTTTTATGCTATTATCTTCTGCATGCAAACTTCACACACATCAGCATGAACTTCAGCAATGTCCACTGAACACAGTGTTACCAGCACTTTAATTGCCTTTTTCAGAAAGAATGCTTTTTCATAACTGTTTATATCAAGCATCAAACAGTACCCACCAAACAGCTGTCAGATTCAGCAGACGAAACATCTATTCTATCATTTTAGCAGCATAAAAGAAGAACATTTAAGAATGTTTGCAAGTTGTAAATAATGACTCCAGTTATCATATCATATGTATGTAAGACTTTAGAGAAAATTATTTTCTAGAATGAAACTATCTATTAATGATTTCTGAGAAAATTGAATTCTTTAGCTTTTAAATGTGGGAAAATGCTACACAGGGATATAATTTGTTTAAATAAGCTTTATTTATGCCAAGGATTTTTTTTTTCTTTCTTCTTCAACATCAAGAAAATAATGGGAATTGATTAGGCCAAAGTTTGCTTTTGCAGATATGCTGTTTATTATCTTCTGGATGTCCTTCTCACTTTATTGTTCTCAAGAGTGTCTGGTTGAAGGGATGAAGTTTTGCAAAAATAAACCACTACTGCAGTCATGCCTAGTGTCTGGAAGAAGAAAAACAAACCAGCATCAGTTTAAAAAAATTTTTTTAACCCAAGAAACTTCAAATGAATTGTTTCATAAAGAAGTTCAACATTGGAGGAAGAAGCTCTAAAATCAAGCTGCTGTGGCACATCTTCCCTGTGCCTCTTCCCAGGCACCTCTGCAGAACTCAGAATTGAAAATCATGGAGCTAGACAACTTCTTGTATTCCCCTTGAGTATCAAAAGCTCACTTCATTACTACTATTATTGACTGTATTTACAAGCAGGTAACTAAGATAGGATGTCTTAGTGAGCAGATCACATCTTTAGCATTTGATGTTCCTTGTATGATCATGAGATCTTAAAACTTTAAGAACAAAAGTTTTAATATTTTTCAATATTATGTTTTTGAGTAATACAATCAAAACATAGTTATTGCTTCCTATGTGGCCAAGTTACTGCTTAGTGGATGAAAAAAACTTGGTGTTCCGGTTATATATGAGCTCAGAACTCAATTCATTAAAGTTATTTTGCAAAGTCATGCTAAGATATATTGAAATTTCTACTCATATTAGTTTTTTTAAATGTATTTTCAGCCTGAAATTAGTAGTGTAGAAAATCACTAAAATCACTATGGCATAAAAAGACGTATGTAACTGAGAACGGTGATAGTAAACAGGTACAGGAGGACCAAACTCTATACATGAAAATTTGTATGTTATTTTATATTAGAGTGTATCAGTATTACTATTTATCATTTATATAGCATTTTATATCTGCAAATTATTTAATAATTTTTGTTTTTCTTTACATTTCTATGAAGTAGGACAGTTATCCCACATGAAAGGTAAAGAAATTGAGGCACAGAACAGTAAAGCAGCCTATTTAAAACAGCCAGTGAATCAATGGCAAAAAATAGGGTTAGAATGATCAGGTTTTCTGAATCCTAGAATATCAACTTACTCACAAGTGTATTGTATCATTCTCCTTTATAAGGTGATTTTATACAAGTAACAGTCCATTGTTTTAAAGTTGTTTAGTCATTGTATGTGGATAAATCCTATACAGAATAAATGCTACATAAAGAATGTGATTTTAGGGACTGGGATTGTGGCTCAGTGGTAGAGCGCTCTCCTAGCACGGGTTCCATTCTCAGCACCACATAAAAATAAAGGTATTGTGTTGTGTCCATCTACACCTAAAAAATAAATATTAAAAAAATTGCGGCTTTAGTTATGAAAGTTTAAGTGATAAAATTCAGGTTATCAGGAATGGCAATGTTTAGCCAGTGTTTCATACATTGTGAAGTATAATTAATATTGTATTTTGATACAGGAGTTTCTTGACTATCCATGCCAATGGAACCATGAATGGGCCAGAAAGATGAAATCAACAGATGTTCTATAAACTTTATTTTTTAACATCGGCTTTCTCCCCACAGAACTGTATTAATGCCACCAAGAAGTCAAATATTTAAGTATAATATTAATAAGTATAAGCCATACAAAGCAAGAGAAGCAAAGGGACTCTTAAAGACATAATGTTTAATTATTTTTTTTTAATAATGAGGATTGAACGCAAGGATGCTTTGCCTTTGAGCTACATCCCTAGCCCTTTCTTTTCTTTTTTTTTTTTGAGACGAGGTCTTGATAAGTTGCCCAGGCTGGCCTTGAATTTGCAATCCTCCTGCCTCAGTCTCCTGAGTAGCTAGGATTACAGGTGTTCACCACTATGCCCTGCTCATCATTTTTATTTATTTTAAATTTTTTAAAAAATTTTCTGGTATCAGATATTGGACCTGAAGCGCTTTACCACTGAGCTACATCCCCAGCCCTTTTTATTTTTTATTTTGAGACAGAGTCTCACTGAATTGCTGAGGCTGGCTTTGAACTTGTGATCCTCCTGCCTCAGCCTCCCAAGCTTCTAGGATTATATGTGTGCATCCTGCTCCCAGGCCACTCATCATTTTTAAATAGGAAACTGAAGTCCAGTTGCTGCTTTACCTTTGGACTTGATTAGATCTTTTGCAAGTTTGATTGTATTGAATGGCTTAGAAAGTACATCCAAGATTTTATTATATTTTGTCTGCTTCCCTCTTTAAAATTTCTAGATAAACATTCTACTATACAGTTGAGGTTTCTTGTTTGTTTTTGTTTGGGGTACTGGGAATTGAGCCCAGGGGCACTTTACTATTGAGCCACAGCCCTATTCCTTTTAATTTGTTGTGTTGTTGTTGTTGTTTGATTTTAATTTTGAGACAGGGTCTCCCTTAGTTGTCTGGGCTAGCTTTGAACTGGCAATCCCCCTGCCTCTCTCACATTATATAGTTTCTTTATTCCACTAGATATACCCTTTTCCTTTTATCTTTCTAACCCCTACTCCCACTCCTAGTGCTGGGGATCCAACTCAGGGCATTGCCCATACTAGGCAAGCACTCTATCAATGAGCTACATCCTCAGCCCAGAGAAAATCTTTTAATTCCTTATTGATATTACATACTGCTACTTAATTCCTTTATTAAGGATTTACATTTTTATTCAGCCTATAAGGGGGAAAAATGGAACGATATTTGTTTCTATACCAAGGGTTCTTAACCTTGGCTACACATTAAAGTCATTTGCAAAGGTTTAAAAAATATAGATGCCGGGCTGGAGGTGTAGTTCAGTGATATGAGTTAGTTGTCTGTCGTGTTCAGGGGCCTGGCTTTGATTTCCACCACAACCAAAAATGTAAAATACAAAGTTTAGGCAAATTAAAATTTCTAACATGTTGGGCCTGGGCATCAGTGTTTTCTCAAAAGCATCCCAGTGTTTCTTACATGCAAAATAGGCCCTCTAGTCAAGATTTTCCTCTGTCCTCCCCATACATATGCCAGGGAGGGGCAGTAGGACCATCTGATTCTTCCTGTCCACAGGGTCTCAATCCTATCACATAAGGGAATATTTAAAAAACACAGATGCATGGGCCTGGCACAGTGACACATGCCTATAATCCCAAGCTGAGGCAGAACCATGTCAAGTTCAAGGCTAGCCTCAGCAATTTAGACCCTCAGTAACTAAGTAGACCCTGCCTCAAGTTAAAGAAAAAAAAGAAAAGAAAAGATCAGGGGATGTTCTGCAGTAAAGTCCCCTGGGTTCAAGCCAAAAAATAAAATACAAAATGCAGGCTGGGAGTGTTTTTTAGTGGTACAATGCTTGCCTGGCATTCACTGGGTCCATCTCCAGTACTGCAAAAAGAAAATAATAGTAGTAAAATACATATAATTTTTGTGACATTTCAAGCCACTGTGTATGTTCTCTGAGTTATTAAGAGGATCAGATAATCAACATTCTAGTAGGACGTCTAAAAGTGGCCCATTTTTACTCGGGGATATATTTGCATTTTATTTAATCATGGGTGTCACTCTCTGGGAATTCACTTAGTACTGTACTTAAAACTAATAAAAGAACTATATTATGAGTATATGGTTGAAATACAATATCTGAAATTTGCTTTAGTTTCTTTTAAAAGAAAGGAAGCAGAACACTCTTCAAGCACCATGAAGCTCAATTGATACACATTAGCATTCCGTAAAATAATGCACTGAATCAATTTTATTCCAGTAAAGTGTAATACTAGCTGCCTGTGGTGGTGAATACCTGCAATCCCAGCGACTGGGGAGGCTGAAGCAAGAGAATCCCGAGTTCGAAGTCAGCCTCAACAATTTAGCAAAATCCTGTCTCAAAAACTAAAGAGGACTGGGGGTGTGGCTCAGAAGCACCCCTGGGCTCAATCTTCAATACAAAAAAGAAAAAAAAAGTAGTACTAGAAAGATAGGACAATATTAAGATATGCTTTTTAATATAATTTTTTATTTGTTTTGTGCTGTTTTGTTTGAAACTGAAGGTTTACCACTGAGCTACATCCCCAGTTTTTTGGCTTGAGTCAGGGTCTCACCAGGTTGCCGAGGTCAGTTTGCTGTCCCAGTGTCTAAGCCTTAAGTCTCTGGAATTACAGGTATGCACCACCATGCTCTGCAAAAAGACGTGTTATTTTAGGGCTGGATTGTGGCTCAGCTGTAGTGCGCTTGCCTAGCATGTGTGGGGCCCTGGGTTTGATTCTCAGCACCATATAAAAATAATTGAATGGAATAAAGGTATAAATAAAAATTCTAAAGATGTCTTCTTAGATTTACTACTAAAAAAAAAAAAAAGCTGTGTTATTTTAAAAAGCCTATAGAAAACTTTGGAAACAAAAGCCATTTTCTTCTTCCCTTTACTTCAGTTATCGCCCTTAAAAAAAAGGGTTGGGGTTGTGGCTCAGCGGTAGAGCGCTTACCTAGCACGTATGTGAGGCTCTGGGTTCGATCCTCAGCACCACATTTAAACAAATAAATAATGATATTGTGCTCATCTACAACTAAAAAATATTTTTTTTTAAAAATAAAGCTTTCAAAATAACTTAAAACATGACCATAATCATTTAAGAACTACATTTGCAGGCCATACATGACAAATATATTCATTGAGTCTCCTACAAAAAATAATAATAATTCCAATGACGAAATGAGACTTTCTTGCATAATTCAAAAATGCTGAAATAAAATACAGATACCGTGCCTTTTATTGTGTGTTGATTTGACTTGAACTTTTTTCTCTATCGGGAGGGAGGAAACCCATAACAAGAGCGGGCAGTGGAAGATACGCTATGAAACTTTCGCACCAGACCATCCAATATTTTGGGTCCATGCCAATGAAGTGAAAATCTGTCCCCGCAACCCCCAACCCGTAGCTAGGGAGAGTGACCAGCCAGCACAGCTTGATGTCTTATTTCCAGCGAATAATCCACCAGAAGAACGACAGGAACCTTTCAGTCTTGCTCTCCCACACCTGGAAATTCATGCACAGTCCTGCAGCTAGATCCTGGAGAGGCCTGCGGCCTACCAGACACCCCTAAATCTCGGTTTGGGGTGGGGAAGAGAAATTTTTCTTGGGTTCCTCTAATAAAAAGCCCATGTTTATAAGCTACCGATTAGACTTCAGCGCCGTCTCCTTTTTAGAACTGGTGAAGCCAGGCGTGGTGTCTAACGCCTGTAATCCTGGCGACTCCGGAGGCTAAAGCGGGAGGATTGCAAAATTGAGGCCAGCCCCAGAAATTTAGCCAGACCCTGCCTCAAAATTTAAAAAAGACTGGGGATGTACTCAGTAATAAAGCGCTCCTGTGTTCCACCTCATTACCAATAAATAAAATTGAAACAGTAATAAAACAGGAGAAGCGGAGGCTTGAGAAGTTAACGACTGCCCCACAAACCACGCCAACGACTTGGTCATCAGGGACCTCGGACTAGGTGGCTGGTGCCTAGCAGCCCTCTCCTGCGGAGAGCTAGCTAGCCTCGCTTAGCTCTTCCTGCACTTTAAAAGCTATTTGGTGATATGTTAGGTCGTGCTGTTGCGAGCTGTGTGACACTACTCTGCCTTGTCCCCAAGGTCACTTGCTCCCAGGAATCCCCCAGTACAGCAGAAACCCGATCCACAGCCTGCGACGCTTCCCCGCAACGGCCAATTAACAGCAATTAAGTCTGCAGTCCAGCCAATAGGAGCCGCGAGATTCCCTGCCCAGCCGGACTCTAGGGCTTCCATCCCTTTGCTTGCGGACTTGGGCAGGGCCAGCTCTTCGACTATCTTTGAGTTTACTCAGAATGCCCGCCTTTGTTCTGTTTCTTTCTTTCCTCCCCTGCACCCCCCCCCCGCCCCTCTCCCTTTCCTTTTTGGGATCACACTCTTTTTGAGGGGGTTGAGAGAGGTAGCAGGGATTGAACTCAGGGGCACTCGACCACTGAGCCACATCCCCAGCCCTATGTTTTGTATTTTATTTACTGAATTGCTTAGGGCCTCGCTTTTGTTGAGGCTAGCTTTGAACTCGAGATCCTCCTGCCTCAGCCTCCCAACCCGCTGGGATTACAGGCATGTGCCACCACCTGCTTGTGGTTCTTTACAGGAAAGAACCACAAGCAGGGCCTGGGATTGTAGCACAGTGGTAGAGTTCTCGCCTAGCATGAATGAGGTACTGGGTTTGATTCTCAGCACCACATAAATATAAAAATATTGTGTCCACCTAAAACTAAAAAAATAAGTATAAAAAAAAAATAGAACCGTAAACAGAGGCTCTAGTTCCTACCTTTATATGGAACACACATGTAAATACCCACCTGTTGGAATGTGAGGCTTGTACACCTAGTTTTGGAATCCCTACCACATGTTTGGCAGAGGAATGAAATGAAGTCCTGGAGGAACCTTTATATTCCAGCTGGGTCTGTATACCATAGAAAGTATCAAATATCTCCATTGTTCATTCCACAAATAACCTAGTGTCCACTATTGGTATCATCCTCCAGGCACCCAGATCCCTGCATGGAATTCAAATAATTTGGGCAGGGACTGTGTAACATTTGTTAACTTTATGTTCATACAAAAGTGAACATAGAGGCTGGGGGTGTAGCTCAGTGGTAGAGCGTTTTCCTAGCATGTGTGAGGCCCTGGGTTCGAACCTTAGCACCATATAAAGACAAATAAATAAAATAAAGGTATTGTATCCATTTACAGCTATAAAAAAATTAAAGAGGAAAAATGTGAACACAGCATGCAAAGAACTCCTGATTTTAAAAATTTATTTATTTATTTATATTTTTGTGGTGCTTGGGATTGAACCCAGGGCCTTGTGCATGTGAGGCAAACACACTACCAACTGAACTATATCCCCAGCCCAATAACTGATGATTTTTTAAAAAATATATTTAATTTTTAAAATTTTTCTGGTATGCCTTGAAGAGTGGAAAATACATCTAATTAGACTAGTATAACAATGCACAGGGGGATTTGATCAGTGTAATTAAGAAAAACTCATCAGAGAGCTGAAACAGGAAGATCACTTGAGCCCAGGAGTTTTTGTTGTGGGGTGGGGGGAAAGTAGCAAATAAAAGGGTGCTAATGCCAGATATGAGTAACATGGAACATAGACATTAAAATATAAAGTATCATCTCCCTGAGGAATATATTGGCAAGGGCTTTGGAAGAAGGAAGACCTGCGTTAAGTGTCACTGAAACAGACCACTGAAACCAGAAGGCTCAAAGAAGGTATGTAAAACAACCAG